AGTTACAACTTCTTATCAAGTCTGCCTCTCTAGTCAACCTGCTTTTTTTTCCAGTCCTCACTACAGGGGCAAATGGCCCAGGCAGAGATCAGACAGTACATGAAGTCAGTGAATGACTTTGGGTAAATACGAAGATTAGATGTTGAATGAAAATGAGACTCCTCAGACCAGCCCTTTTGCACTGAAGTGGTTAAGTGGGCTGTGATTAAAAGAAATAAGTAATTATCCTAATTATAGATTAAAAGATACAGGGTTACCACTTTAAAAGCATCTCCTGTGCTCTGGAGTGGTTCTGTTATTTACGAAGTGGTTGCTCATAATTACGTAGCATAAGCAAGAGGGCACCCTCTCAGTGTGGTGCAGCAGCCCTGTCTCTCCAAGGCAGAGGGTGGTACTGTGCCGAAGAGCTCTTCATCCCCCAAGCATGGATCCAAAGTTCAGGTCTTGCTCCAGTGAGTAGGATGGTGCTAAGCCAGGAGAAATTGTGGGAACCTTTCTATCTCAAGCTTAGTGCAGGGCATACCAGAGTTCACAGAGCTCTCCCTGCTTGGCCATGACCACCGCTGGTAATGGCTTTTATGATCACCAGGTTTTAAATAATAAATGAAACAAAGAAGCAAACTCTGAAGCACTGGAGAGCAGCCCTGGGTGGTGACGTCCTGTCACAATTGAAGCATGGCAATTCTGCCGGCTAGTAACTTATTACAAAACGTTTTTGTTACCAGCCTCTTCCTACTCTGGGGCAAAGTGCCCGTATGCCTGTGGGACCGAAAAGTTCAGGACTCGCTGGGTCATGGGTGCCGGCAGGTCCTCTGTATCCCCACTGCAGTGCAGCGCTGGGAGACATGTTACACTCTTGCTCTCCCCTCCGCATCCGTTATTGTACATAAGAATTCAGTTTCCAGTGCTGTCAGTCAATTCACTGCCGCTCTTAAGCCCTAAATGCCCCACAGGCTGTTAGTCAGAATGTTCCTATTAACAACTCAGTGAAAATAAAGGGTGAGGGGAAGAGAAGGTGGAGAAATAAATCTTATTTTAAATCTTTCGAGCTGGTTTTATTTCAAATGGAAAGTTGCATGCGGACCACCCCAAGCTATTGTGCTGTGGACTGCCTCAGCTGCTTGACTGTGCAAGGAAGATTTGGGTAGAGGTTAAGAGCATCACACAAGGGAAGGATGCACTGGATTCCTTTTGTGCTGTATCCAGGAAGTTTCTAGCTCAGTATGGAGTTTAAATACATTGACACACGTGGTAATCATTATGAGAAGAGAAAGGAACATTGAAATACGACAATTTGCTGCTCCCATTCTGGGGATTATGTTGGTTTCTGACTGTCTTGTAGAGGTAGTGACATGTTGTAGGAGAGTGTAGGAAAATGAAGGGCAGATGCTATCCTGGAATGCTTGGAGAGCTGCTTGCTGAGCTTAGTGCAGTACCTGTTGCCCAGACACCTTGTATCCACCTACCTAGCGTGTGGCTTCAGAAGGGTGGGTGGCTCTGAAATACGACCGTACTGTTGCACTTGGTTTAGAAGAGCTCTTCAAGCAGAGAGCTGCAGAATTGTGTGATACAAGGAGAAAAGGGAAACGCTGCTATGTCTTTTGCTGTGGTCATACCACAGCTGGAGGTGTGTAACAGCCTCTTGGACCAGCTTTTCCTTAGCTAGCACAGACATCGCTAGCAGAGGAAGTTTATCAGCAGTACTTGAACGTAGACAGCACACACCCATGGAGCCCTTTCCTTCCTAGTTTAAGGTCCTGCTGTTCTGTCTTCACTGCTTTGTATTCCAATATACTCAAGTACCAGCTAGTTCATACAGGACTACAAGAGCTGTAAATGTATCCCCAGTTTGAGTGGAGCAATAGCAAACAAGGGAAGGGTGAGGGAAAGACTGTAATGGGGTAGGAACATGGGAAATGGAGGATGAAATGGAAAAACCCTGTCTCAGGCAGATCGGAGGCAGAACATTGGTGTCACGGCAGCTTTGTGGCTCCTGTATCCCTTTTTTCTTAGAACATTGCTGGCAAGCTGGCCTGTCTCCTAGGGCAGTGCCAGTCTCCATCTGGGGGTTGTCTCAGGCTTGCTCCTGTCCAGCCCCGCAGAGCCCTACCAATCTATAGTTGCCAAAGAACAACGGGGAATCTGATATGGGCAATGTGTTAGAGAAGGAAAGAGTCTTGAGGAGTTGAGTAATGCACATTTTTTCCATCCAACGTAACTGTTAATGGTAACCTTTTATTATTGAAGTGGTTGAAGTGACTAGAATCTGGTTTGTTTATTGGGAGTATATGCATGGCTGTATAGTCTAATGTGATCAAAAAAGGGAACTGATAATAAGGGAAAAATACACCTATGGAAGCAAGTCAGGTGATGTCTCTGTGTAATTGTAATTCCGAGTAGCACTGCAGAGATTAACAGCCTGGCAGCCTTTTCATCTTAAACTTTATTTTTATAGGGGTTTATAACTTGGCACTAAAGTCAGGAGTGGGTGGAAACTTGGCGAATGTGGTTCAACCCAGAAAGTGAATGTTATTTATATTTATTTCTCACCAAGTTTTCAAAAACACTTGGTTACTGTTTTTGTGTTCTAACAAGTAGTAATTTGTTGGTTTCAGTGACTTATGCTCTCTGTGTTTCTTAAACTACAAAATAGTTCAGAACTCATTTCAACTCTTCTGAAACTCCTAGTGGAAGGACTCTAGATTTCTAGGGGTGTAAATGAGGACTGAAAGTAGGTACTATTATATTTCCTTTTAGTAGGATGCTCCAAGTATTTCATATATATGCATGCATATATATGTACACTGAGCTAACATCTTTATTCTATTTACATCATATTAATTCTTGATTGCCAAGTAGCTCCTGCACCTTTGGAATAATTACATTTGGTTTCACTGGCAACTGTGTGTATTTAATGGCATTACTCAGGTGCAGGCTTACTGCGGAGAGGCTGAGGAGGCAATAGTTAATATGGCCACATGGGCTTTGAATCGTCTGTGTCGTGGAACGTGGTCTTCCCCACTCCCATGCCCACACATGACATCTCTATATCAACACCGGGTCTGTCCGTGGCATTAACACTGCTTTTGTTTCATACTTCACATTGATTTCATGTCTGTTCCTAAAGCCAAGAGACTAGCGGTAGAGAGCTTTCTGCACCTGATTTTCAGGGAGCCCTACTGACATCGTGAGGAGCAGCATTTGAATAGGGATTGTCAATATTTTCAGCAAACTGAAATACTGCATTATGTCTCTGGCATAATGTGCATAATGTAGCAAAATGGTCATCTGCTGACAGTAATGTTTGTGTATTGCATGTATTGCATTGCATTTTGTAGTTGAAGTGTACTGCACAAATAGGCACTTATTTAGAAAAATCAGTCATGTTCAAACATTGGCTTATGTGGGAAAATTAAATTAATGATTTTCTAGACATGCTTAATTTTTATTTTTAAAAGTTTTTAAAAACATTTGTTTTATAAAGGTTAAAGATATTGTGGGGTTTTCCTTTAAAAGACTGGGAAGAGTGAGTTACAATTTCTTACAAGAAAATCCTGGATGCTAATTCGCCTAGTTGTAAAATTCAATGCTTGTGAAGTTCCAGAATGACAACCCTAAAGATAGTAACTGTGTTTGTGTGCATTCAGGGCATGATTCCCTCCTCAGTGAGAATTCAGCCCTTTCCGCCTGAGATTAACTCTGGAAGGTGAAAAGAGCTGTCTTTCTATTTAAGAGGAAACAGAGGAAGTCATCAGTAAACTGTCATCCCGAGTATTAACTGTGTAAAGCTTCAAAGCTTTACATAGGTGAAGTTTTTAAAAAGAGTTCAAAGCCGTGTACAGTTGTTAACCATTACACAAGTTATAGTATTATGACATTTATGAAACAAATCCTATCTTGTTACTTGCTAAGGGCAATACAGGGATGAGGTAGTAGTTTTCCAGTTGTGTGATATGCATCCCTGAACACTTTTATATCAGGTCAGTATTTAAATGCCTATCCAGTTGCATGTAGTGACGTTCATGGAATCTGCAACCTACTGTAAAATGACTTCTGATTACTTAATATTATCTAAGTAATAGTTACATTTATGTACTTTAAAATTTCATTTCCTGTTTCAAATACCACTTTTAGAGGAAGTTTAGTTTTGTAATATGTTCATTTAGTTTTGCAGTTACATGAAAAGATACTGCGATATGGCTGACATAAGATATTTCAAAGGCACAATCTGTATGTGCATTTTGTGTGTAGTGTTGCATTTTTTGTAGCATGGTGTCACTTAGGGATCATGGAGTCTTTGTTGTGCTAGACAAAGGTTTTCTGAAGAGAGTGAAGCCACTTTCTTGAAAGCAGGCATTCATGCAGAGATGCTTTAAGGTTTCTGGACAGACTCATAGCAATGAGGCTTTGGATATAGGAACCATTGCTTCAAAATGTTCTCATGTGTGAATTGTGTAGTTTTGTAGCATGCTTTCGTTACCAGATAACTTCGTCTACACACAACACAAGGTACAGTTTATGTTGGAAAAGATAATAGTTGCTGAGTTTGTAATGAGAAGCTGTTCCATTAGCTGCACAGAGAATGGTTTGGTTTCCGTTGGGTTTGTGTGAATGGATACTAATTTGAGTTTCTTTCCTTCACCTAGATGCCAGTAATTCTGAAGCATTAACCCTTTTAAAAGTTATTCAGTTTGCTGTGACAGATTCCAAAGTTAGTGACAGTGTAGGAGGAAATGTCCAAGCTCGTTTCTTCAGGAAGTGAGGCTGGAGAGGATACCTGGTACCTGTTTGATAAGGAGGCTTCCTGAACAGTGGGTGATGCCTGACAAGTCCAAAAGGATGTTAATTATTTTTGTTGCTTTTACTTTGTGCTGCTTTTGCTTATGTTTCTTTGAAGCTTTTATGCAAGTGTAAATTTGCAAACTAAAGCTGTTGTGTACAGTCACCTGCAGTAACCCTTATCCTAAGAGTTCTCTTGTAAATGCAAACTGAAATGACAGCAAACTATAGAGTGGAAAGAGAAAACCTTTCAGACTATTGTGTTCTTGGTCAACGTCCCATGCACTTACCAAATATCAACCAGCTGGCAACCTTGGGAAAAACTAATGAACAGTCTCCTCATGGCCAAATTCACCACAGTACTCCAATCCGAAACCAAGTGCCAACGATGCAGACAATGATAAACCCTGGGCTCCTGTCTCCTCAGCTCAGCCCACAACTGGTGAGGCAGCAGATAGCAATGGCCCATCTGATAAACCAACAGATTGCTGTCAGCCGGCTATTGGCTCACCAGCACCCACAAGCTATCAACCAGCAGTTCTTGAATCATCCACCCATCCCTAGAGCTGTCAAACCAGAGCCATCAAATTCATCGGTGGAAGTCTCTCCAGATATTTACCAGCAAGTCAGAGATGAGCTGAAGAGAGCCAGTGTGTCTCAAGCTGTCTTTGCAAGAGTAGCATTCAACCGCACACAGGTATCAGTTTCTGTTCTATAACCAAGAAGTTCTGAGGGGGCAAAGTTGTGGCTCATGTGGGGCTGTATGGTTGTTGCAGATCAAGGCAGGAGGTGTACCATGGAAACAGGTCAAACCACCCTCTGTTTTTTCCCCCAGCCTCTTTGTTGGGATTGAACAAGACTGTTTCTTCTGGAACAGTTGTTCGTTTGCAATTGGTTATGCCTGTGCCGTCACCTAAGCTTTGTTCTCTAGCAGTAATTCTGCTTGTGTGAGTTCTTCCCTGAGTTCCTCTCCGTGGTTATAAACTTCCACATCTGCCCCTGCCTGATGGCCAGGAAGAGGTAGCAAGAGGCTCTGAGAGTCAGAGGTGTCTTTGGGCTTCTGTCACTTCCTCAATTCCTTCCTGTGGTACAACGATGCCACAACTAGTGCCAGAGGCGACTGCTGCAAGAAATGTGTAAGACAAGTGTGCATAGGCCTAAAGACCGACTGCTGGGAAAGATGTCTGCCATCTGCAGCAGATCGTGTTTGCTTTTGTACATCTGAGACAGGTTTTCTCCCTTGCCTAGTGAAATGCAGATGTTGAAATGATCGCATGATAGCGTCAGCTTAAGCCTAGCACCTGGAGTACCCGGGGTGACTGTGTTCAGAAAGACAGGCCACTTAATTTATCCTGCTGCCGTTCAAGGCATGCAAATTATGATCTCTCAATTGTGATACTCTGTAGCAAGGCTAAGGAAATGGAAAGTGGCTTAATATTGGTACAAATTTCTTTTGTGCAATTGCAATTGGTCTTCGAGGTAAACTTTACTAGCAAGAGAAAAAAGGGTATGTGTGTGTCTCCTGGAGTTCTGTCCCTTGCCCCGTACAGTGCCTTTGTCTGTTCTCCTGGATTAATGATTTTCTTTGGCACTGCCATTTTGGAAATGCCATGTTATGAGGGAACTAATTAAAGTATGGAGCACATTTTTATGACTTCCCTTCTTCCATTAAATTCATAAGATGGCTGCACTCAGAAAAAACATTCACTTCCAATCAACATGACTTTGAGTTCTGGGGTTAGCCTTGAGGATATCAAATGAAAACTACCTAGGAATGTATGAGTATTTCCTCTTTAAAATGCTGCTTTTAATTTGGAAAAGCTTTTCATCCCTCTGGGATCATAACCCGTTGTATATAAAGCCTGGTATAATCAAGGTAGATGGTATTGACAGAATGACATATTCTGAACTTGAGTGAGAGGTCGGCAGTAACGTTGCTGCTGAGGGTTTTGCCACTGTCACTGGACATGAAGCACTGCTTTAGCCAGATTGGGAGATGTGGATAATGCCCAAGGCTGCCATTAAACCAAAAGCTCATTCCCAAACGAGAAAGCTGTCATACAACTTGTGTGTTAAATCGACAGTTCTACTCCAGTATTTAAAAGGAGGCAAGGTTTAGATTCTGTGTATCTAGGAAACCCCAAGCCTTGCATATTACTGACCAAACATTGTATATTGACTTTCCAGGACAGCAGGGAAAAGGCAAGCCTGTGGGAGAGACCACTCTGGCCTCTGCCTAGCCCTGACACAGCACTGAATCTGCCTATGGTGTTTAATAGCAGCTACGGTAGAGATTGTGCCACACTCTTGATAGATAATCTGAAATCTGGACTAAATCAGCTGCCGTGTGTTTTGGGGTGTGGGGCTTTTTTGGTCTTTTCATACTTCCTGCAGTGTTCTGGCATAGATCTAGTGGGTTTAGGACACTAAATGGGTCTTTGGGTGAAATGTGGTTTCTTCCCAACTTCAGTGGCTCCTGGCAGTGTGACTGTGGGCCAGTCACACCTGACAGCATTTTCAAATGCCATGTATGACTTAGGACACCAGGTGTGTAACCATTCAGACTGGGCTCACTCATCAGGAGCACAGACATGAGCAGACGTGCCAAGGTAATGTCCTTTGAGTAGGTGTGAAGCACTTCCTGGACAGGGCTGCACCTGGAGATGGATGTGATGTTCTGTCCTCCGACCAGTTTATGTTTGAGTTCAGTGTATAAAATGGTGTCTGTAATTCAGCGTGCAAGTGCCCCTGGTTTTGTCAGTCCTCCTGCCCTCCTGCTGTCATTTTTCCTAGGGTGCACTAACTTCCCTAGCTTGAAAAAAATATCTTCCCTGATTTTGATTGCTTCATTACAAAATATCAAGACATGTGATTTTATATAAAAGGAAAGAAATTACCTACTTCTTAGCCTTCCATCATAAGTAATATAATGTACAATACAGTCCATGACAGTGGCCAGTCCAGAACAGGCAAGTCTTAAACATTCATAAAAGATTTGCTGATCTCACAGCTGTGTTTCATTAGTCTATAGGGCCTTAGTATAGAAGACCAGTGGACCTTACATATAGTGCATCATATCCCTAGGAGCCATCCCAGTAGCAAAAGAGTGTAGGTACATATTTATGCTTCCCTGTCCTCAGCTTTTAATTTCAACTCAAATCAAGCTCCTCTAACATCAGAGACTGTTGGAGCTATTAAGAAGAGGTGCTCAGACAGTCAGCCTTGCACTGCACAGTAGAAAATGTGGGGTGTTCCCCCACACCCTTGGTGGAGAAGCAAACTCTGTAAAAGGCACTTGAAGTGGAAGTTCAAGTCTACTCTCATCTCTTTGCATTCCCCCTGCTGCCTCCAAGGATCTTCTCCTCCAGAGGTGCAGGCGTGCATTTCTCTCTGGAAATGTCTGGGTTTGTTGCATTTCACAGGAAGTGCCCACCTTAGAAACAGGAGGTCTGTTGTTTCTCATGATGGTACCAAATAATAGATGCTGTATGCCAGCCAGCTAATAATTGTATTAATCCCTGCATTATGGGCCACTGCTCAGTCTTTCTTCGTGGTAGCTCTGTGGTGCACATTAGCCTATAATTAAGTATAGCTTCATGAAATATGTACTGTGAGGCTTGTTTAATAGATAAACTATTCTCTAATTTATTTTAAAGTCCAATGACCTACATACTCAATGCTGAAAAAAACCCTCTTACTAACATTATTTCTCCCCTGAGACCTTCCATCTGAGCAAATCTGTTAAATGAAGTAGAGGAAGCTTTGATCCAAACTAGGGTAAATCCATTGGAACAAATGGCCAACACATGTATGTATGCATGTGTGTGTGGGAAGGGAGACATGAGGAGGGTTGGAAGAAGGTGAGGTGAAACATCCAAATCTTCCTCTGAAAGCTGGAGATACATAGCTTAGGACAACAATATTAGCTTACACTTGTGGCCATGTTGTCTGCACACATGAAAACAGAGTGCTTCAGGCTCTCTGACAAATCCTGTGCATTTCCTGCAGCACAACACTCCCACTGAGGTCCCACTCTGAGATGGGGATTGAACATCAGGCATCTTTATACCTGCTGTGTGCACGGGAGAGCTGTGCAGCATGTTTGGCTAGGAGCTGGCCCAGGCTGTGTTAGCTGTGAAGAGGGTTTCTTTCAAAGTAAGTTCCAAAGTGAACATTTTCAGATTTATTTGAGACTGGGTATGAACAACCCTCAAAGTGTGTATGACTGATAAATGGTAAATGGACTGGTAAATGCCTTGGGCTAACCTCTGCCCTTCTTTTTATTTTTAGAGAGTCAATGTCACAATTTTAATTCACCCTACTGTGTAATCTAAATGCCTGTTTATTCAGCAAACAGGATAGGTAGAAGAGAGTTCTTAGACCCACAGAGACAATATAGTTATTGAAGGTGGGTTTAATGACACTGTTCCCAATGAGTGGGAAATTCCTACACATCCTTCAAAACGTGTAAAATGGTGGTGCACACTACCACGTTCATCTAAGCTGGTGTTGCCCAAAACCTGCTCAACAATGATAAGAATGGTGTATGCTGGAAAGACACCCTCTTAGGCTCTATGTAGCCTTCCTTTCTCTTGAGGAAGCCGGCAGCACTGCAGGTTTTAACTCCAGGTGTGGTCCTCGTATGGACTGCAGTGAGTCGCTATTCAAACTTATCAAGCAGGTGGTGTAGCCGAAGGAGTGGAGCTGGGGCTGTTCTGCCCTATCCCAGGAGCCCTGTTGAGATAAGACTGATGCAGGCAGAGAGGACAACACACAAGGGATGTTTATATTCCTGGCCTTACGCTTAGCTGGCCACTGTTTCCTTCCCTCCAAGGCAACCAGGGAGCCCACTGGGAAGAGTGGATCAAGAGTGGATACAGGGAAGAGTGGATCGAGGGAGTGCAGAAAGCTTGCTGTGACTAAGGTGGTTAGCAGTATTGCTGGGGCAGGAGGTTCAGTTTCTAGCTTGTGTAATTGCATAGTTTGTGCCCAAGTTCTTCATGGCCAAGATACTTGGCCTTGGCTCCCTTTTGTGGATCTGCTGGCCTGTGACCCACAAGTTGGAAATTTGCAGCCTCCTTGACTTGAATGTGTTGTTTACGGAAATAGTTTGTTCCCTTTGTTCAGACTGAACTAATAGCTCGCTAATGGAAAGCTAGGCATCCTTGTCTGGTCTTAAAAACTGTGTGTAAGAGTGAGTGGGTTTGAATGTATGAGCTGTATGAGGCCTATCGAACACTTGGGAGTTACATGGTCATACCTGATATCTTTATTTTAAAACGGAGGGTTTCTTCATTAAGCGTGTTGACATGCAACCAAGTTGTAAGCTGAAGTTGCTATTAAAACAGTCATTAGTGAAAGCTTTAACTTTGGCGCTTTTTGATTGTATAAAACTGTTCAATCTTGAGAAAAACCAAGGAAAAGTCTGATTAATACTGCAAATCCATAGGAGAATCGCAACTGTCAGAGGCAGAGCAGATGCACCTTGCAGTTGGAATTGCCCTGTGCACATTTTTAAAACCAGTCAAAGCTTTGAAAAGGCCAAGGTGAAGGACATGCCTGCAAGACATAGGCTGCAGAGGGTGAGAAGGTTTTAATGCGCAGGGGGAGCAGCTGTCCCTCATTGGTCTCAAACAATGTGCAGTAAAATCAAAGGGGCTGTCATTGCAGGCTGGAGTTCTCCAAAAATGCCTACCT